AGTAAAAGCTAGGGTGCACGTAGTCCTAGTGCCTTGCCAGTGCTTTTTCTTATTTAAATTAGAAAGCTGTAATAGAGACTTCTATAAAATGTGGCAAATAAAATGATAAAAACTTAGGCATAATGCATTTTCTCTTGATAAAAGCTGAAATGTCAATCCTCTTTGTCCTTCAGACAGCTTGAAAACACCAATGTTAAACCTTAACTGTGGCCAGGTGGAAGTGAGAACAGAGCAATTTAATTATTGACACAGTTATACCCTGGAATTTCTCCCAGTAGCAAAGTAGAATAGCCTGGCATAATTTGTCTGTATTCTGCTTAAGACCTATGCTATGTTTTGCAAATGTATGGCATTTAAGCCATGTCTGGCTGTGTTGTCTATACCACTCTGGGAATGGAAGGCCCCTTGAAGAGGCTGCCTGTTGCATCTCAGTAAATGAGAAAAATCATGAAGGAACTAGCTGAGATAACAGTTTAAGCCTTTTGGAGGCAACCACAGCAATGCGGAGCTTACTGCAATATTCTGTGCCCACCAGGGGCACAGCAGTGGTATTTCTTTGTTGTTCTTGTAATAAATAGAGCAACTTAAAGGCAGCCACTGCCTGCAACATCACCATGGAAAAGGTCACCCTGGTTTCCCAACAAGGACTAGCAGAAAGTGCCACATGCTTTTCCTACAGTGTAGTTTTATGCTGTGCTCCCTTGTTAATAAGCATGAGATTCATTAACTGATTGCGTATTCACTTATGAAAGAACTCTGGCTTTTCTTTGTCGTTTTTTACATAGTAACAGTGGTGTAACTTGTCAGGTGAAGCGTTTAGACTCTGCAAATATGTTGCTACTTCTAGAGCTGAAAAATATGTAGCTGTAGGTTTGAACAGATGTATGTTTGAGGCATGTACTGTAATTTAGTAGAAGCTTTGCTTGGCTTCTCAGAATTGCTTAATAAAAACAAAAGAGTATCTGTGAAAGTGAAAGATACAGGTGTATGTGACAGGTAAGGTGTCATAAAATAAGCTGTATTAACTTATTTGACAGTTGCAATTTCTGTTTAAATGTAATGCTATAAGAGTCAGTTTTACAGTAATTTTGATGTGTTTATAGGAGCACTCATGCTAGCAGCCATATTAAATTTTAAATAAAAAGGTGGCTTCACGCTGAGTGTTGTGGCATGCTTTAATGTTTATCATAGTCAGGAATCACTTCCTTATAATTACAATGTGCTTGAAGAAAATTGGAAATTTAATAGGTTACCTAATAATGTAGTTGACTTCCCAGAGGGACTTGGGCAAAATTTGTCAAAATATCATTCCGTAAGATGTATGGATCAGTTAATTTTTAACAGGCAAGATGTTTTAGTGCAGGACAGCTTTTTTTGTTTGGTTTGGTTTTATTCATGTTCTGAACACTGTAGGGCCACAGAGAAGGAGTAATAAGATCATTATGTTTTGTGAGACAGCTTCCCAGAGTAATTAATGCTGTAGGACAGTGTACTTCTATTATCTGATTGTTTTTTACTTGACTGTGGGAAATAATATCTGACATATATTAACTGGCAGAACCAAATGCTGAACACTGGCAGGTCCTGTCTCTCTACCTCTGTGCATCCTGCTGTGAAAACTGAGTGCACTGAATTTGAAGAATGTCCCTGCTTAAATCCTTCATTCAAAGGCATGTTGGAAGGAAGCAATACAAAATTTGCATTGGCTGGCTGTGAATTTTCCTGGAGATTGTCAGAAAATGGACTTGTAGCCAGAAATGGCTTGTCTCTTACAGCTGTATTTCTTCCTTCCAAACCAGGCAAAGCTGGGAAAAATGACTGCCTGGGCTTTGTGTGAGATGCATCCTTTCATTTCATAAAAGGAAAAAGGGTGAAGAGGAAAGTATCTTCCTTTGCTGAATATGCCAGGTAATTTCCCTTGGTATATGAGCATCTTCCCTTCCTGTGGTGGCCAAGTAGAATGCCTTATATAGGAATTTAGGTGGAGGAATGAAAGGAATTTGAAGAATGTTCAAAGAAGGCCTAGGTAATTGGATAGATCTGCTTTAAGACTTGGTAAACTACTGGACAGATGGATTCATTCACTGATAACTGATCCTCTCTCTGTATCAGGAATGTAGCCATGATGATAAACATTTGAAAATGACCTATGGTGTGTTTATTTTCTAGTTGCAAAGTGGAATAATTTCATTAGAACTAGCAGAGGCACGCTAAGCGCAAGCTAGATGATTAAACCTCTCTGTATGGGCACATGACCTTCATCCTGAAGCAGTCTTTGGTAAAGCATTTGGTTTTAGTGGTAATAGCGGCCACCTAAATACGTATACAGATGGATATGGATCCTTTAGCCTTACAACAGCCATGAGAATGCTGTGTGGTTCTAACACTGAGGGTTAGATTGAAAATGAGCATCAGTCATGTGACAATTTTTTGACTATTTTCTGCACATTTATGAAGTAGATTTTGCAATGCTAATGCATAGACAGTTATGTGCATTTATGCAGTCTTGTTGCAAGTACTAGGGAGATGGAATGCATGTCCCCTTTTCCATGCAACAGAAAAGTGAAAAAGTTACAGTATGTAGTGCAGGAAGATACTCAGTAAGAATGAAGTGACAATGCAGAGAACCTTTCTTCTGGTGTTAGAGGTAATTTAATAGCCCTTCATTGCTAAAGAGTTGGATTAATCTTCTTTTAAAAGCTTGTATTAAATAAATGTGGGGTTTGGGTTTCTTTCTGCTCCAGTTGACTGTTACAGAAAGCAAAGACCCGTCTCATGATTTGACAGGTACTAGCCAGTCCAGCAGACAGCTGAAAGAATTGCAGTATTGCATTAATGCAGTCATGATACAATGCATTCATGACAACTGTCATAGCAAGTGTGGCTGAAGAGATTGAACTCTTCAATGAAGGAACTGATAGAGATCAAAGTCCACGTGTATTTTCAGGGCCAAAAATGTTAGGTAACATTGCTGAAGAGTGATTGTTCAGGCAAAGAATTCATGAAGCAGTACAGTTCTAAACACGATGCTGGAACGATGGTGAGAATAACATGGATAAGAGTTGTATTTACTGGTGCATAAGAAGTCTGCCTAATTTCTTGTAGTCTTAGAATTATGTAGCAAGTCCTGTAGAAAAGCTTGTGAGCAAAAAACCAGCAGTCTAGTATTTAGTAATCATAGGAGGGTGATAGCTACATAGGTAAATCCAGAAAACATCTCAAATGCCATAGGTGTTCCATCACTGTTGACTGAATTTCTGTAGGGTAAGCTTGTGAATTAGTGATTCACATACAAAGATGTTTTTGAACATAACTTTTTTAAAAATCATTTTTAATATGTCTAATGTCGTGAATATACATTTTAAAAGTTACTACTTTTGATACTGATATTTTGATGGAAGAAGAATTTTAAAGCTTACGAAAAGAAAGGATTGCAAAACAAGTCACGAGTGAAGGCCTAATGTCCATTTTGAGCTGACCAGGGTTCTTGCAGAAACATCCTGTAAATTTTGTTTTGATATGAGAAGGAAATGCTGTTGCATCTTCGATAGTTTCAGAACATCACTTGCTATGTTATGCCTCCAAGTCCATTTCTAAAATCTGTTAGCAGTATCTTGTACAAGAAGGGTACTGTATTTGTTCTGTCTGCTACCTGCTGGTTCATTTGGAGTCACTTTTTGTTGGTCTTTCAATGTCCTAGTCCAAAACTTTTTGTTTAATCTCTCTCACTCTTACTTTTTATTGTCACAGCCATTGAGATCCCTCTCTTTTGGTGTTGGGTTTGATCGCTTTTCCTGATTTCAAGTTTGACACAGCTTCAACCTAAGCCTGTGTCAGAACTTGTTGTCTTCAGTTAGGAATTTAAGCATTCATTCAGATAGGTAGAAGGATGTTTTCCTGAAGGGGCTCTTAAATTTGGAATTTCTTTCTTTCTTTTTTCTTTTTAATTGCTCTCTTGATCTGACAGGTATTTTTCTTTTTTCCTCTCTCAGAACAAGAAAATAAGTGTGTTAAAAATGTCACATCAAATTTACTGAGTAGGGGAGAGGTTATCGTGAGAACTTCACTAATACATGTTTCTTCACATCATTTGTATTGATGTATGATTAGTCTGCTTTTTTCTTTCTCATTTTCCTTTGCATGCTTGACCTCTGGAAAGCTTCAGCTCATTGAGCTGAAGGACTCCAAAATCCTTAATTTCAAATGAACAGAATTTGTCTAGAAAGGGAGAGGGATGGCGTGTAGGAGGGAGGGATGTTAAATCTCATAGGTGAGCTTTGTCATCCTCTTGAGATGCATAGCTTGTTGCCTGGCTTTTCTCCAAACTAAAATAGATGCTTTTGCATGGGAAGTGTAATGCAACTCAGTTCAGACACAAAAAGAAACATTTTCATTTTCCATGAAGTGGGAGGAGAAAAATGGGTAATTGGGTAGTGAGAATTAGATTTTCATGTTCCTAAAGGTGAATGGAGGTATCTTTTTCTAGTTGAAATGTGTGTCTCAATTCAATAAAAACTGTATACCTGCATTTTTAAATACTGAAATATTTACACTTATTTATTGACTACAGCCAACTGAGAATGTAGGCATTTTTTTTTCTGATTTAGGAATTTTCATACCTGTTTTGATCTATTGAAAATTAAATTGATGCACTGCAATGTTGATATATTTTATTGATGTTACAGGTATCACTTTATTCTGATTTTGTCAGAAATAATGTAGTGCTCTTTTTTTTATTGAGGTTTCTACTTTAATTCTAGCTTATAATTTGTATGTCAGCTGTAATTGCAGCTGAAGTCTCTGAGTTTCTTCTTTCCTTATACTATAAATCTGTGAAGCAGAATTATACACTTTCTGTTTTATCCCAGGTTTTTTGTTCTGCTTTCTGCTCTACAGTTTATTTTTTACTTGACAGCTGCAGAGTTAAAGGAGCATCAGTGACAACATTCTTCCCTTCCAAACCAATTTTGTTTGGGGGTTGCCCCTCGGGCTTGGTAAATCACCTTTCTGCAGAAGTCCTGTGCCTGGCTTAAGGAATTGTTGACTCTGGCCCTCTGCACAGAGGTACGTTCTGCTGACTCTGAGAGAACCTCTAGGTGAGAGTTACTGTATCAGTTCTCTGAAGCTGTAATCCTGTAAAGTAATCCAATTACACAGTGTGTGAGAAATGCTCAACCTTCAGAACTTGATGGGGGAGATTTGTTTCCATGCATGGCATTTGCATTTCTTTTTACATAGGGAGGCCTTGCTGCACTTTTTGATTTACTAACAGAACAAACTAACATGGGTCAGAACACCCATTGAATGAAGCAATGAGTTTATTGGGTAGTCAACTGTGTGGGCGTGTGAATGCTAACAAAATTACTTCTTCTTTATGTACCTATATGACTTCCTATTGATGAGTGAGGTTTTTTGTGGTGATTTATGTCTGTTACAGAACAACAGTTTGACAATTGGAACCACGTCTAGAGCTTGGGAAGCGCACTTTGTTGTAGTAAGTTCTTACTCAAAAGTTACGGTTTGCTATTAGTAGTTGTACCCTAGTAATTCGTTTTATTGGGAGGGGCAGAGGAATGAGGAGTTCTGCGAGTGAAATGGGTTTGTAGCCTTACTGCGCACCATTAACAGAGTAATAAGCTGAAGAAAATCCTTATATTCCTTTCAAAATTTCTAGCTGGATCTCATTTTCCCTGCCTGAGAAATAAATCATTTAAATGAAAGAAATACATAAAACAGGCAGGTTGATATAACAGGTTGTTAAAGGTTATTTTATTAGCAAAAGGCTAGAAGAAAATACTTATGGTAGAAATATATTATTATTTTTTTGGCCAGAAGCCTAAAAACAAATCCTGTATTACAAAGGTTGCCTCAAGTAAAAACCTGGCTCTCTTAGCTATTGCTTAAATTATTTTATAATCTTAATGTAAATGAATGGCTTTTAGTATAATATCCAGCAGAATAATCTACTCTGCATCCATTAAACATTTTTTGAATCGATTTGCTGGTCTGTGACTGTAAGGGTCTCTCCATGGTTATGTATGTTTTCTTGTAAGTCTGGTCCTGTTCTCACTGATGTTAATATCAAACCTCTGGATTTTAACCAGAGCTGAATCCTACGCTAATGGCTTTGTGCACTGTTGTATATAATGGCCTAAATGTGTCAAATGTGTATCTTTTTCTGTGTTCTTTGTCTGCTATTTTAAGCACAATTAGTATTTATCTTGCTTATGCACCAAGTGTGTGACCTGGCTTTTACGCAATTAGTTTTAAAATGTGTATGCACTGCTAACTGTCCTTCAAAATATTTACATCTCATTATTGGTGAACCATTCCAGCTTTGCCACACAGATGTACCATCTTGTCCAATTCAGCAAAGGTAATAATCTGCCATAGATTAAGAAGAAACTAGATTTTTCTTTTTCTACTTATCTCCCTGAAGTCTTTGTTAAGAAGCTAAATGTTGTTCTTGCAGAGTAGCATTTGTAATTTCTGTTAACAGTGTGCTTTTGCTGTGTCCAGCATAAATTTTATTGTGTCAACCATGGAACACAAAGTCAGCTCTAATTTGGATTTGAGATGACATATGCTGTTCTAGTTTACTCGAAGTCATGTATGCTGTGGGGGAGTACTGCTTTTTAGGTGCTTGATACACACAAACCACTTATTTTTCCTATTTATTTCTTTTACTCTTTTAGTGTTGTATTTTTCTTTATATTTTTTTTTTTTAAATCTTTTTTTGGGGTCTGTTTTATGAGATTGGAGATCTGTCTTGTCTTGAAGCTTATACTTTTAGGTGAGTACAATTGCTTTTGTTTAGCTATTGAAGAAAGTTTCAATTATAGTTCAGGGTAAGAAACTCTCGTCAAGAAATTTCTGAAACATCTTAAGCTCTCCTGTGATTTTGTTTGGTGTCTGCAAGCTTAAGTAAAGCCTTCAGGAATATCAGCACTTCATGGAACTGAGCTCTTAGTGTGCAGTGTTGCTCTTTCAGGCTCCTGTGTTAACTATGGCAATGGTGAAATAGTGAAAATTATGCACCATTTCAGGTTCATTGTGGAGAGCAGGTGTCACGGATGGAGTGAGAGGGAGGCAAAAATAATGTGGTTTATTAACAAAGGTCAGTGGTAACTGCAACAATAGTTTGAGATTCGATGGCAAGGTACACTTTGCTATTTACTGCACAGAGGACAGGGTCAGACAAGACTGTCAGGGAGACCCTCCCGTTGAGTCATGAGGTTCAGAAAAGAACCCCTTGCTTTCTAAACTCCCTCAGAGAGGAGTCTAGGTGCAGCTGGATCCAATCCTAGTCCCAGACTTGGTCAACGGTTTATGCCTAAAGGATTATATATGCGCAACTAATCCTTTATGTCACTTAGCTAAGATTTCCGAGTTAGCATGCTGTTAGTCACTTACTGAGAATCTGTTGTGGTAAGGAATTTCTCAACCTCGAGGAGTAACCTTGAGAGGTGTCCCTGCTCAAGGGGAGATCCTGGCATGCAGCCCACTGCCATGCAGGAGAGCTCCAAGGGCTCTTGGGCTGCTCACTATTTATGGGGGTAAGATAATTGGCTCATAGTCATATTTGCAGACTGGCCACTATGCTTAGGTGGGCACATTCCACAACAGCCCTTGGCTATTGTATTGTTATCTGTCTCCCCCCACACCCAGTGGGTGCATCCTTCACGCCCAGACACATCTATCAGATGCATCTTATCACCACAGCCACAGGTAGTTATCACTTGAAAGAGATCAAAGGAGGGGGAGTCAGAGACGAGGGGGGAGCACACCGCCACAGCAGGTAAGTAGTAAAATAAGTCTGCTAGTCTTCTGAGTTGATCAGAATAATTTATCTTGCACTTGGCATGCAGGAGAATATATAATGAGAAAATATATGGGCATAGCAGTATTCAGGTCTTTACCTTCTACTTGCACTTTTCTACTCTGCTTAGTCTAGCACTCTTGGCTTACAGTAAAACTGAAAGGCTTAAATGGAAAGATCTTCAACCAGTTGGTGGTTACACAT